TAGAGGATCTCCCTGTCTAAGACCCCTGACCCCTCCCTGATGGGAAATAACAACTGGTTCACCATTCACCAGAATAGAATACCTGACAGTACTGATGCAAAAACTAATCCACCCCAACCATTTCTCCCAATAATATAAACTATAATACCCTCTACTATTGGTTTTGATATTTCTTTGACACACTACCACAGTTTTATAAGCTCAATTTTAATTTTGAACTGTTTCAGACCAACATCAACATAGTAATCCATTCAGCCATGTGTTTTCATGCTAAAGGGTTCTCATGTTACTGATAGTTTCTATGTGCCTACAGATGCAAGTATATAGTACATAATAGCATTTTCCTGGGAGCAAAAAAGAATTCAGTAGTAAATGTTTGCAAACATAGTTGTGTGTGCGAGAGAGAGTGTGTGTGTGTTTCTGTGTACAATTATTTGTGCCCTAAGTTCCTTTACATATCAACTATCGATCAAACATGAAAAGGAGAAATTTGATTAAAGTTGAAGGATAGGTAGCAAAGAAGGCCTTCTTCAGCAAGGAGAGCAGTGGATGAGAGAGCCTTCAGTGAGATATTAGTCTGGGAGGAGTTAAGGACTAAAGCTCTATTATCACTTTCTTATCATGGCAAACCTTGTATTTCAAAAAAAAAAAATCAATTCAAAATAGCCTCCCATGAAAATAGGAATGTGCAACTACTTTTACCATTCTAAAAAAATATTTATATGTACAACTGAATTTGTATCTTAAATACACTTGTCACTTCCGCTCCTATTTTTAGAGGGATAGCACAAGACTGGCAGGTGGAATCCATTATCTTTTTTTTTTTCCAATTTATGCTAATCACTGCCAATGGTTTTGAGAGTGGGAAGCCCAAAAAAGTGTAAGGGCACTGCTTCGTGCTTTAAGCGAAGCGCTCACTTCATTGAAGTAAAGTGCAATTTAACGAAAGACCAAAATAAACCTTTCACAAAAACAATATATGTAAGCAAATGTTTTAGTTTAAAAATGAAAAAGTAGTTAGCAAAAATCCTCCATATGACAGGAAATTAACTACTACCTAGTGCCTAGAAGAAATTAACTAATTCGCTACTGAAAAATGAAATAGCTAATTAGCTACTAAAAATGGAATAGCTAATAGCTACTGCCTAGTGCCAAAAAGAAATTAACTGATTAGCTACTGCCTAGCGCCTAAGATAAGGAAATTAATTATTGGCAAATTCAATTGAATTATTAGACTGAAAATGGAAATTCAATTGAACTAATAAACTGAAAAAAAAATAAAGACATACATAAGAAATAAGAGCTGATGAAGAAGAAATAAGAGATGAAAAAATGTGGGGAAAATACGCTCTATACAGCCATATATGCAACGACGAAGAAAGCAAGGGAAAAAACTGCCAGCCATCGAAGAAGAAAGAACAAAGAAAAAAGAAGGAAGAAAGAAGAAGAAAATAGGATGAAGATGTGTTGAACAGTACATCTACGAGCTGCATATACTCTTCAACTATTTTTTATTTTTTTTGAAAACCAGTCCCAACTTTTCTGTTTTCTTCCGATTAGATCTTTTTTTCAGACAGAAGAAGCAAGCGCTTCAGCCTCGCGTCGCTTCAGTGAAAATGCTTTGCTTCACAGCCTTGAAATCAAAGCGCCTACATCTCGCTTCACTTCATCACTTAAAATGATGAAGTGCTCGCTTTTTACAAGACTAGTCACTGATTAGTTTGAGGAGCACACAATCCTGCTTAGTCGGAAGATATTGCACTGGCTTATAGTCTGAAGTCTTACAATCATGCCCTTAGCAGCATAGACGAAGAACCCTTTCCTTTGTGTTAAAGAGTCCCACATAGGATGAAAAAGGGATGGTGGTCTTGTTATATGGTCTTGGGCAATCCTTTCCTCTTGAGCTAGCACATTTATGGTTGAGTTAGGCCCAAAGTTCATTTCTTAACATGCTATTAGAGTAAGACCTGTCCCAATTCTTGTTTCCTAATGTTGGGCCCCATATTAAAATTTTCCACGCTCCAGATGTCCATTCCTGAGCATGAGGTGGGGTGTTGACGAGTCCCACATGGGATGGAAAAGGGATCGGTGATCTCCTTACATGGTCTTGGACAATCGTCCTCTCCTAAGCTAACTTTTGAGGTTAGTTAGGCCCAAAGTCCATTTCTTTCCACTTTGAAAATAATTTGGGAAGACAAAGGAAGATGAAAGGATCTTTTATTTTGGCTTTAGAAGATCCCCTTACAGGTGACAACTTTGGGGAGAGGAAAAGAATTAGCGCTAATGGCTGTCTTTTCTGCACTAGAGCTGAAGCAATACAAACATTCTCTCCTTCATTATGGCAGGTTTACTGAGATTTAGATCTTTTTTTTAATTTGCTGTGTGATGATCAGATGAGTTGTGTCTAGATCTGGATGACTTGAGTCACATCTTGAGCATTATAATTTCACTGGAAGAAGAGATAGAATTCAAGTGCTATTCTTATGCATTTGGATGAAAAAGAAGAACATCACTAATATAGGTGATTATGTTTTGGCTCAAGTCCAATGTTATTTCTACATTTCATTTTTGGTACGAGGAGAACCATCCAGCTAGTCATGATATTTTGAGAGATATTTTTTGCATTCTGACACTTGGTATCTTGAGAAAGACCTACAATACCTGAAATTTGTTGTACCCAGTCCAGAACTAAATGACCCTTTACTCACTTAGAAGCACTTAAGTAGAAAACAATTAGAAGATTCCCCTTTTGACTTCGCATGTTTCCTTGGGTGGGTCAACTTGAACAAAATTTGGCAAGGGGGCTAACCTCCTTTACTAATGTTCTATATAATGTGAAGACAGAGCTTTATATTATGATCAAAAGGTAAACATGTATTAAGGATATTAGTTTCCAATGATGAAAATTTCTTCCTTTTTCTCCCCTTACTAACACAGACACGACTTTTACCTTTTTCCTACCCCCTCCTCTCCTTTGATCTGTACATTCTCCTTTCCTTCCTTCTGTTTTTCTTTAACCAAAACAATACCATAAGTCAAGCGAAACCTTCTCTTTTCCTCCTGTGTAAAGCATGCCCCCTCATACTTTTTCTCTAGTGCTTACAGTGCAGGGGAAAGCTCTTAGCACAAGTGGATCATATTTCCCAAGTCCAGACTGAAAATGATAAAGATCATTCCTTTAAACCCACTACTTATGCACCCACCAAGCCTACCATGTAGCACATAAGTGGTTCAACAGGCTGCTCCAATCAACTTACCATTTTTACCGTTTTCTCCTCTATTCCTAAATATGCACACCATTTAGATAACTGATTATCTTGTTGATACCTTAGCCTTCAACAAAGCAACATGGTAAAGACAAATTTGAAACAAAGAAACAGAAAAGCCTAAGACCTCTATTGCATAATTCCAGTGACCTACCTCACTAAAGTATAGGTAATAAGGTAATAGGGTTATAGTGTTCAAGACTTTTACCAGAAGTGGGTCAAATGTGAAGATAAAAATGACTTTTAACTTACTTTAATATTAATAGGGAACCAGCACAAACTTTAATAATACAGAACATCATCTAAAGGTATTGAAGACCCTTGGGGTGAGGTCCCCCCC